ACTTCATCAACGGGAAAATCGGACAGAACAAATACCCCGAAATAAAAGAGAAAATTCAGAATGCGAAGCAAAAGTCAATAGATAAGATTAATGATAATCGTGAAGACTGTGAACTTCGTACCGGTGATGTTTATATAAAACATGATCGTGGCGGGAAAAATCACTCAAAGTTTCGGAAAGTTAACGTTGAGAAACTAGATGAAAATCACGTAATCACTAAAACCGGACATATATATTATAAATCCCACATAAAACGGAAAAAGGCTTTTCAATAATTCTTCTGTTATTTCCAGAACAAAAAACATGATGAAACTATTAACAATTATACTTCTACTGAGGACCGCTGAACGTTCAAGACTTAAGCGATAACCACGGATACCTCCCCATAAAAATTAAGGACGTAGACATAATAGACTACTACATACAAATTATCCATGTGATCAACACAACTAAAAACATAGATACAGCAAATTGGCCAGTACATACACTAACCTAAATCTCTTATTGGAAAGCGTCAAAAGGAGCATGGACCTTTGTAAAACAAAAATTGATAATCTTACACCCACATTTAGACAGAAACACGGACTCATTAACATATTGGGAAAAAGGGATAAAATATGTCACCGGAACTATGGACAGCGAGGACAAAGAAAAAATAATAAATCATTTTTCCCGAGTAGACGAATTTAATAACGTAACATCAAAAGAAATTAACAAACTGAAATATTTAAGTACGCTACTATCAAATAAAGTAACTAATATGACAGCACACACAAATAACCAACAACGAATAATACAAATATACAATAATCAATTTAGGATAATAACATGTTAAGTATAAGTAGTAATAGTAGCACATTCATTGTCATTGTATCTATTATTGTTTTAATCTACATAAGAATGAATAAGAGAATTTATATATTGTCTTCATCGGAGCTTCGAACTAACGGTGAGGGAGTTACGGCCTCACCAACATTTACAATATAAAGAACACATACACACGTTAACATATGTACGTATGAATGTGTACTTTTGCATATTGGCGTGTGCAACACTTCCGCCACAACTCAAATTAATAATTCCTTGAAATCAATCAGACGACCTATTTTGGGTGTCATTGTCCGAAGCACATAATTATAATAAGCAAACAAAACATATTATAATTAGTTCTTAATTCTGTTTTATTCCGTACATTACTACGATAAATAAAGTTTAAAAGCTCAAAAAAAAAAAAATGATAATAATAAATAAATAAAAATTGTTTTATTTTTTATAAAAAAAAAAAAAAAAACATCAATATAATTGTTATGCTCAAGCTTTCAAATTCGAACGTTACATTAATGGCCTTTTCCGATCTACTCAATCTAATGTTCACAGTTTTTTTTCATTTTTTTACCAAAGAATGGTCAATGACAATAGGATGAATGGAGGAGATAGACGTTTCCCCCCATATTTAATACAGCTAAGTTAGTTATTCTTTTGTAAATTCTACATTTAAATTTACTTATGCAGGTAGGTAGGTATGTATGCTGGTATATTTAATTAGTAGTTAGTATTTGTAATAGGTATGCAGCATGTCATCTAGTCAGTATCTATGTGGTTAGTTAGTTAGTAATTTGTCAGGATTTGAGTTTGCTTCTTGGAAAGCGACTTAGTAAATAGTAATGAATTGATGCCCGTAGTATGTATATGTGTCATTTACGAGGATATGGTTTCTATATATTTCGAATTTGGCAAACATTACTCTCGAAGAGATAATAAACAAAACAATTGAGGAGTGTTGCCATATTTTTGTTGTTGCATCAATTAGTTGTTAAATTTGATCTTCTTGAAAAGTATTTTTATGTTTTGGGTATTTTCTTCGATACATTTTTTATGTATGTAGTATACACCCATATTAAAATGATGACTATAGAGAGAGTATGTGTGCAATGAGACCAGTATTCCGAATACTTAAAACAGTGTTTTATTTTCTCCTGCTTCTTTCAGTTATCGTCAACTTCCTCTTACTTATGGCATACGTAAATCTCTGCTCTGTGATGACGAAGATGGTACCTCATCGGGACTGGGTGAATCATCACCACCATGTGGGCGAATACGTACAACGGCACGTCTTGTATCTTCGTTACGCTGCGGCATATATAGGCCAGACGGTCCAGAATAGCATGTTGTGTTATTTCCTGCTAATCGTAACTTTTCGGTTTCGCCCAGTGTACTTTCGGTAAAGAGTTGACCCAAATTCAACTGTGGAATATCATAAAATATGGTCAAGACCAGCATCATAGCAATGAGACCTGAAAGAAGAAAAAAACACACATGAAGAATAATAAAATATTTATCGTTTTTATGTCGAAATTAAATGAATAATAACAATTCGGCTCAACCGAACTTCGAGCATTGTCGTCACAAGACAGAAACCCAAAAACACCCCGCTAGTACTAATTATACCCTTCACCAACTGTTGTACAGGGTATTATGTCTTTGTGCATATGTTTCTATCAGTCAAAAGGAAACGAGAAAGACACATGGTTCCTTTTGAGACTATGCATAAAATCACTTTCTGAGTCGATTTATGCATGTCCGTCCGTCCGTGTATTTTTGTGAACAAAGTACAGGTCGCATTTATGATTCGATTTGGATAAAGTTTGGCACATTGGCGGAACACAACCACAAAATCAACAGACAACAACTAATAAACTTCCAGAAATACATGAAATGCTGAGTGGTTTAAATATACTAATGAAACAAATGTCAAACCTTCTTACGAGTATCTCTGAAAAACTTTCTCACATCTAAAGAATGGAAATTTTAAAAGTTATATTCTGGAATGCAAATGGATTATCACAACATACTTTAGAAGTTTCAAATTTCTTACAAACTAATAATATAGATATATTTCTTATATCTGAGACACATTTTACTGATAAAAACCATTTATCCATTCCAAAATATAACTTCTATCACGTCATGCATCCATCTGGGAAGGCGCGTGGTGGTTCAGGCATATTAATAAAAAACACAATAAAACATCACCAAGGAAGACATTACTGCACACCTGAAATACAAGCGACAAGTATTATTGTCCAAACTATACATGGGCCTCTTACAGTCTCATCACTTTATAGTCCTCCAAGGCACAACGTAAAAAAAGATGTATACGTTAGTTACTTCAAAACTCTGGGAAACAAGTTTATAGCTTGCGGAGATTATAACGCAAAACACGTCCATTGGGGATCACGCCTCACAACACCAAAAGGAAGACAACTCTTTTGGGCTATAAAAGACCTAAATTTAAGAACTATTTCTCCCAATTCGCCTACTTACTGGCCCACTGATCTAAATAAATCTCCAGACCTCATAGATTTTTGTGTCTCCAAGGGCATTCCAGAAAACTCAGAAACATGTGTAACTAGCTATGACTTGTCATCTGATCACTCTCCAGTGTCTCTAGTGCTACATTCACAACATGTAAACCAAAACCAAATGTGTAAACTGCACAATAAAAAAACAAACTGGCACCTATTTCGTTATCAAATCAGCAATACTATAAATCAAAAGCTTTCCCTAAAAACCGACGAAGAAATTACAGTAGCTGTTGAACATCTAATTCAAGTCATCCAAATGTCATCATGGAACTCCACGCCTAAGTGCAGCTTTGACAAACCCTCAAATTTTAATATTTCATTAGAAAGGAAGCTGTCAGAAAAAAGAAAGGCTAGAAAAAGGTGGCAACAAACTAAATCGCCAGAAGACAAAAAAATACTCAATAAAGCCACATCTGATCTTCAAAAAATGTTAAAAAGTATAAACGAAAGGAACACTGAAAGAGATATTCGAAATTTGGGTACAACCATGAGTACAGACTATTCCCTGTGGAAGTTAATCCAGAAATATCAAAAACCAGCCTAAAACAAGCTATCCAATTAGGAAATTTGATAACAGCTGGACAAAAAGTAACTTGGAAAAAGCAACAGTGTTTGCAAAACACTTATTTGAAGTCTTCACGCCTAACAACTCTGAAGAAACACCTGATTATATTAAAAATTACCTAAATCAGCCACACCAACTCGACTTACCCATAAAAAAGTTCTCGAAAAATGAAGTTTCGGAAGCGATAAAGTCCTTAAAACTTGGTAAAGCACCTGGATATGACCTAATTACTCCAAAAGTTCTTAAAGAACTTCCACAAGATGGTATTAACCTTATCACGTACATTTTCAACGCTTGTTTAACACGCAATTTTATTCCCCCTCAATGGAAAGTAGCCCAAATTACTATGATCCAAAAACCTGGAAAACCGGCAGACCAAGTTAAATCTTATCGGCCAATCAGTTTATTGCCTATTCTCTCCAAGGTTTTAGAATCACTGTTTCTTAAAAGATTAACACCTATTATTGAGGCAAACAAACTTATTCCACCACACCAATTTGGTTTCAGAAAAAGTCATGGAACTATTGAGCAGATTCATAGGCTAGTCGAAACAATAAATGCTGCATACGAATCAAAGCAATATTGCACTTCGGCCTTTTTAGACATATCACAAGCATTTGATAAAGTATGGCACGACGGTTTACTGTACAAAGCAAAACAACTTCTTCCCATCAATTTCTACTTGTTTATAAAATCTTACATACAAAACAGATTCTTCTATGTACACGAGATTGACGAAAACAGCAACCTTGAGTGTATAAGAGCTGGTGTTCCTCAAGGTAGTGTTATGGGTCCAATATTATACCTTCTGTTTACATCAGATCTTCCGCAATCTGACACTGCTGTTATTGGAACTTTCGCGGATGACACTGCTGTTCTTGCAGTGCACAAAAATCCTGATATGGCCAGCAGTTTGCTCCAAAAATATCTGATCATACTTTGTAAATGGTTTAAGCGTTGGCGTATAAAAACAAATGAAACAAAGTCCAACCATGTAACATTCACCCTCAACCAGGGAATATGTCCACCGGTACAAATGAATCAAATAACACTACCTCAGGAGAAAGAAGTTAAATACCTCGGTCTATATCTAGACAATAAACTTAAATGGCACACACATATAAAAACAAAGCGAAAAGCCCTTGACTTGCAAATTCATAAAATGCATTTTCTAATTGGATCAAACTCAAAACTGCGTCTCGAAAACAAACTACTTATATACAAATGTATCATAAAGCCCATTTGGACATACGGTATCCAGTTATGGGGAACTGCTCCCAATACAACAATCAAAGTACTGCAACAGTTTCAATCAAAAACATTGCGTAAAATTACCGGAGCGCCATACTTCGTAACGAATAAAAGATTACACGAGGAACTGAACATGAAAACCGTGCAAGAAGAAATAGTACACCAACTTCAAAACTACAAACTGAGAATAGAATCACATCCCAACCCCTTAGCTGCAAACTTAATGGCAAGCTCTGAAACTTTCATAAGATTGAGAAGAAGGGCCCCTCAAGATTTAATTTAATGACTCTAGCCAATTATACCTAAAATTTGTAAGAACTATTATACTATATATGAATCATAGAAATCCAGTAATATTTTAAGGGCAAACCACTGGGTGAACCCTGATGAATTAAATAATTTTTGATAATTTTCATAATTAATGTAAATATCAAATTAAGATAGAAGGCATTAATAAATATATTAATAAAAAAAAAAAAAAAAACATTAGAAAATCGGTTCAGATTTAGATATAGTTTCCATATATAGGTTCGTTCAATTTTATGTAAATGGTGCACCAAACTCCTAATATTGGTCCGATTTAGACAAAGACACAGAGTTTTGAAATAGGTCTAGATTGATATATGCCAAGTTCTGTTGAAATCGGTTCAGATTTAGATATAGTTCCCATATAGTTTCGTCCGATTTTATGTAAATGGAGCACCAAACTGCCAATATTGATCCGTCTGAGACAAAATTTTGCACAAAGTACTGACTTCGGTTCAGATTGATGTATGCGAAGTTTCGTTGAAATCGGTTTAGATTTAGATATAGCTCCCATATATAATTTCGTTGGATATTATGTAAATGGAGCACCATATTGCCAATATTGGCCCGATTGAGGCAAAATTTTGCACAGTACTCTGTGCAAGTTTTATATTGATATATGCCAAGTTTTGTTGAAATCGTTCCAGATTTAGATATAGCACCCATATATAGTTTCGTCCGATATCATGTAAATGGTTCACCATACTGCCAATATTGGTCCGATTGAGACAAAATTTTACACAGAGCAATGAATTATGTCCAGATTGATGTATGTGAAGTTTTGTTGGAATTGGTTCAGATTTAGATATAGCTCCCATATAAAGTTGTGTACTATTTTAGGTAAATGGTGCACCAATTGAAAATATTTGCCCGATTGGGACAAAAGTTTGCACAACGTACGGAAAATTGTCCAGTTTGAAGTTTTTGTTGAAATCGGTCCAGATTTTGATGTAGCTCCCATTTACATGCTCGTCCGATTTTAGGTAAATGGTGCACCAAACTCCCAAGATGTTTCCGATTGAGACAAAATTTTGCACAGTATACTGAATCAAGTCCAATTTGATGTGTCTGAAGTTTTGTGCAAATCGGTTCAGATTTATGTGTATGATTTTTTATTTTTATACCCTTTACCACACTGTAGTACAGGGTATTATGTCTTTGTCCATATGTTTGTAACAGGCAAAAGGAATGGAGATAGACCCATGATAATATGCATAGAATTACTTTCTGAGTCTATTTACGCATGTCCGCCTGTCCGTCCGTCCATGTATTTTTGGATGAAATTTGACACAGTTTTCGCCCAAAGACGAACCCTATTGAAATTTTTGAGAAAATCGGTTCAGTTTTAGATATTGCTCCCATATATAGTTTCGTCCAAACTCCCAATATTTGTCCGATTGTGACAAACTTTTGCAGAGAGTACTGAATTAGGTCCAGACTGATGTCTGCGAAAGTTTGTTAAAATCGCTTCAGTTTTAAATATAGCTTCCATATATAGTTTCGTCCGATTTTATGTGGCTGATGTACCAAACTCCCAATATTAATTATTTATTTATATATCTCAATGGTCCTCCAAAGACTCTATGTCTGTTCTATCTATAGGATATTGTAGATATTAACATTTCTTGCATGTACCCAATGTGGTGAAGCGTATCATATAGTCTGTCCCGTCCGACTTTTGAACTTTCCTTACTGGTTTTTAAATATCTATGTAGATCACATTCATCATCCAAAAATGTTATGTCTCTTCAAAAGGATATTGTACACATTATCATCTCTTGTATATATCAAATGGTGAAACGTATCATATAGTCGGCCTCGTCCGGCTTTTGAACTTTCCTTACTGGGTATCTACGCGCTTTATGGTTCAGTTGTTAGATTTTTGGGGAATTATGAAAAACATTCAAAATGTATGCAGAATATGTGTCCAATCAGAATTTCGATATCTTAATTATTAAAAAAATTACAAAATCCGAGTTCTAGTTATCACCTATATAACGATCCTGCGCCTTATTCATTGTATCGGAAGTTGTAGCTAGCAGTGTTGACGTTTTGAACCAAACTTGGACCAAAAACTAATAAATTTTCGATTAGGTACAATTTACATGCTTTTAATTTAGTATAATTTCGATTCAATTTTTAATGTCGGATCGGATTTTTACTTTACTGGTTATCAGTGTGGTTGGAAACTTCGTATGTTCGTAGACATTTTGGGGACATATGCCATAAAACAGTGACTGCAAATTAGTATTTCTGGTGTCAAGTTTTTTACAACATTGGTAACATTGGAAATCATTGACGACTTAGGTCCACTTAATTGACATATTCCCCAACAGTTGTTTATCATAATAAATTATAGATGGCTGATCGAGCTTGAGGTCAATATTTATCATAACAAAAAATTGGACTACACTTTCAAAATCATTCACCATTTATGATTTGAAATTTCACCCTCTTTTGGTGGAGGTTATAAAAAATTCGGCCTGGCCTGAATTTAACGTGTCTTTCACTTGCTATACCTAGGTATGACATCCTCTCGAATGAAAGTCGAAAAATTGGATTCAAACTTTGTTTGCTGTATAAAATAGGGCATTACCTGAAAAGAATTCCAAATATGCCAATTCATATTTTGACTGCAGGGTCTATAACCTTCTGAACGTATAATACAATGTTTTCGTTATCATGTACACCGCCATTGTTTTCTTAATTTCAATGGGAAATGCATTTCTTTGGGAAAATTTCATTGACGAAGTGTTTTTAAATTTGAGTATTTGTCATAATAAAAAATACTTGTGATGGCAAGGGTTCAAAGTCGATTTACTCATATAAAATAGGTATATGGGAAATTACAAAAATCTTTTAAATTCCTTGAAGTTGAGGTTTGCAAGGTTATAACTCGCGAAATATGAACATATTGCATATAATTTAAATTCAATTCTATAAAATGAAGTGTTCTTGTCAAAATCTTGAAATATTGGTAATAAATAATAAGTTGCGTGGAAGCTGTGATGGTGGTAATGTAAAAAAATGGGTGAAAATGTGTTGAAGCCAACGAGTTTTTTTGTGTTCGTTCCCGATTTGTGGCTAAACTACACAACGCACACACATGTGATCAGTGACTAAGTTGCAGAATACCCCATGAACAATATGGTTCTAATGTATGATTTTTCGATATAATCACTGCATCCACCCAAAATGGATGCTGACATTTTGAAGCCGGATTTTCGGTGTTTTTTGAATTTTTCTTATAATTAGGATGCGCATCCAGACAATAGAATAAACTAATTATAGGATCGTAGAACTCGTGATTCTGCTTCGTTTAGTGTATATCTCATGAATGTGCTCACTGTAGCTTCTTTGCAATTGGGTTCCAAAGACGAAAATTTAGTGCGTAAATTTTTATAAAAAACATATTTTTTTAGTCTAAAATTAAGAAAGTCCATTCCAATTCCGTGGAACCCCGCGTGATTTTAGTTTTTTTACGTGCCGGATCTAATGAGCCCATCCATGTTCAATTCCGCCCATTAAAACGGCGGATATAGGTACCTTGAATGTGGGAAAAACTGCAAAAACTTATTTTGACAAATTCGCGTAAATAATCGCGGTTTTCTTCGAATTAATTTTACATGCATTTATGCTTGTATTGTCAAATTCGCGAATCTGCGTGGAAATGGGTCAAAAATACATCGATACGCGAATAATATGCGTATTTTATCCAAAATTGATTGTGGAGGCACATCCGCGGTTCTTAACCGATCCTTTTAAAATAGGTGTCCTTTTGCGTATTTTCATAGGAGATTACTAAAATCGGATGCGCATAAAAATCGTATGCACGTTGCACGATTTTTAGCCATTTTTAGGGTTTTTGCATAGTAAAGTGCATCGAGTGGCACACTTTGACCGCTAAATTAAACATTGAAAAATTAATAATTATTGAAAGACATTGATTCGGTTTATACGAAAATCGCATGCGCATCAACTGATTTCAATTAATTCGCGAATTGCAAGCTTTTCAATATTGATCATTTTTATGTATTGTAAATGCAATATATTTAGCCATTAATGACGTCGAAACTCTTATCAGATGAATCTGCCGATATTTAACAATCATCTAAAAGAATTTGCAGAAGAAAGCGTTGTATATTTTAGAAGATTAAGGCAAAACCCTATCCTCTTAACCATACTAAAAAAATCGAAAATTCAAAAAAAAAATAGTTTTATTTCAAAAATTAATTTATTTTATTTTCCGATATCTTCATGTTTCTATTTGTTTTTCGCGACTATTAAACCGTATTTCAGTGTGATTTGACTAGTATGCAAAGAAAACAATGGTGTTTAAGCATTTGTGAAGAAATTCGCGAATTACAACGAATAGGAATCCATTTAATATATATTTGAAATACAAGATTTAAAACCGCTATAACTTTTGTGCGCAGCATCCGAATTTGTGAACGCGAACAGATTTCGAATCAGCATATTTTTCTTAACCTATGTACCAAAAATCATAAATGTGCTCGCAAAAAAAATTTTCAAAATTTTTTTAATGGAATTTTAAAAGAATTTTGTAATTTCCCATATACTTCTGAGTTTTCAAATTAACAATAATTTGCAAAATTTTAGTATAGCACCATGTTGGCTCCAAACACATTTTTTAAGTTTTGATTTAATTTGTATGTGTATCATTTATTTGTCATTACTAAATTAATCGACATAAAAAGGAATTTTCTTGTTCATAGTGTATAAAATTTCATTAAAAAATCTGCAGTTGTCCAATGAAATCGGTTTCAATTTGTTCTTCCATGATCTCATTTGCACTGACATACAAACAATTCTTCTACCTCTCCTTATCACAAAATTTTCATATAATTGCATTTTTTCCCATTACAAATACTTACCCAATACTAAATAGGCGGTAATTAACATTTTATATAACGAACGATTATCAATGGAAACACCATCACCGGGTATATAATCACCCAAGCCAATTGTCGTTAACGAGATGAAACAATAATAGAAGGCATCCAGTATACCCCATGTTGGTTCCAAATAACTGAAAACAGCAGTTGGTATGGCAAAGAATACAATTAGAACGATTATCACTGAAATGAGGGGAGAGCGGAGAGATAAGATAGTTAAAATAACAAAAATCCTCCAAGTGTAACACCTCCAACTTACCCACAATGGTCAAGTGCATAACACGAATATTAAACGGTTGATACAAATGACCTAATCTCGAATTTAATTTGCCCAATAGCCAATTAGCCGGTATTAACAATTTCTCAACCATGGCACTCAGCAGGACCAGTGTCAACGGTATACCAATTGCCGCATAAATCATGCAAAATATTTTACCCGTTTGACTGAGGGGTGTTACGTGACCATAACCTATTGGAATAAATGTTATTTTTATATTGGAAAATTATGTATAAGTCTATTGATCAATTTTCAGCTTACCAATTGTTGTTATAACAGTACTGGAGAAAAATAAGGCTTGGCCAAAACTCCAATTCATTTCATTAGTGGCATTGCGTAGCGGTGATATGCCACGATCATTGGCCGTAATGACAGCTTTAAGGAATTCCTCCAAATCATCATCTGCAAGAAACAAAATATAATCAATAATCGAGGATAAAAGAAATCATTAGAATATATATTCAAATATTTGACATTAGGTCTGCACGATAAAATTTTAATAAGATGTTGGAATATCTTATATGTTGGATACATAAATAACCAGTAAGGAAAGTAGTAAAGTCGGACGGAGCCGACTATATGATACCCTTCACCACTTTGGGTATATTTAACAGATGAATCCTAAGAGACGTCGCATTTTTAAAGGACCATTAAAATGAAATTGGATCCATAAACATGTAATTCTGCAATTCATTACGCTGTGCCAAATTTCGTGCAAACCGAAAGATATATAGTGACTCTGGTGCAACATTTACCTTAAATCGGACGAAAATATATATGTGAGCTATATTTAAATCTGAACCGATTTTGACGAAACATAACACGCATGATTCTACGCCTAATTCATTACGCTGTGCCAACTTTCGTGCTAATCGAAAGATTTTAAGGACTTTGGTGCATCATTTAAATTAAATCGGACGAAAATATATCGACGCCTCCGAACCATAGTATGCTAAGTCTGAAAAGTGAGTTTTTCAGTAGAAGCTTTCAAAGAATGGAAGTTTCTTTAATCGTACGTGCCATGCTAAGTAAATTTTTGCTTATAACTTTGGTTTGGATTGGCCGATGATTGCCAAAATTTCAGTGAATGTAAATTAAGGACCTCAGTATCTAAAAACGTAAAGAACTTTTAAACATGCTAAGTCACCTTAGCATACTATGGTTCGGAGGCGTCGATATATGGGAGCTATATCTAAATCTGAACCGATTTCCAGGAAACTTAACACACATGATTCTACGCCTAATTCATTACGCTGTGCCAAATGTCGTGCTAATCGAAAGATTTTAAGGGACTTTGGTGCACCATTTACATTAAATCGGACGGAAATATATATGGGAGCTATATCTAAATCTGAACCCATTTTCTGGAAACTTAACACACATCATTATAGACCTAATTCATTACGGTGTGCCAAATTTCGTGCAAATCGAAAGATATATAGGCACTTTAGTGGACCATTTACATTAAATCGGACGAAAATATATACGGGAGCTATATCTAAATCTGAACCGATTTTTCCCAATTTTAATAGGGTCCTTGGGCCAAATAAGTGATCTATGCCAAATTTCATCCAAATCGGATCATAAATGCGACCTGTACTTTGTTCACAAAAATACATGGACGGACAGACGGACGGACATGCGTAAATCGACTCAGAAAGTTATTCTATGCATATTCTCAAAAGGAACCATGTGTCTATCTCGTTTATTTTTGTCTGTTACAAACATATGGACAAAGACATAATATCCTGTACCACAGTGTGGTGAAGGGTATAAAAATCATAGTCGGAATTACTCATTCAAGCATTTAATAGCTTTTGGGTACTAATTCAGGCATCATAATAATCGAAAAAAGAACAAGATGGGCACGTCTGCGTGTGTTACAGACGTTTGGAATCTAATTTAACTCTACCAGAGGGATTTCACTCCTGCTGGTAAAGTGATGGAAGTGAAATGCGGTTTTCAGGGGGATACGACTCCGACTCTTTTTGATGTCGCTTCGTTTTTAGGTTTTCTTAATTTTCTACTTTCTATTTTGACGTGTTATAAATCGCTTTCACAATTCACTTAGAAATGTGTACTTTTCGGAACAAATTAATTAATAACAGCTTATTTACATTGATGACTCATCGTCAACCCCCTTCATCTGTGTAAAATTTCGTGAAGTTCGGTTTATAATTGTGGCCTATAGAACGTCCAGAAAAACAGACAGAAATAAAGTTGTTGGTCCATTTCATTCTATAAATACCAGAACGATTGGTCCATAACTGTGGCCTGTATAGTGTTTCCATTTATAATGGCCAAATTGAAAAAGTTAAAATGGCCTTTTATTAACAACGAATTTGACTGTAATTTGATATTTTGTGCTATTATTGGGTAGCAAATCTTCCTACCAAAAATGATAATTTTTGGTGCACTTTTAAGGGCAGTCCCCATATAACGGTACCTCTAAATTTCGACATTTTCGGCGCTTTGTGAGCGTTTTTCAAACAGGGTAGGTCGTATATATAAAATCATTATGGCATTTCATAGTTAAACATAAACCATCGATTTCATGATATTAATTACTACCATGAAATGAAATATTTAATTATACCCTTCACCACACTGTAGTACAGGGTATTATGTCTTTGTGCATATGTTTGTAACAGTCAAAAAGAATCGAGATAGACCCATGGTTCCTTTTAAGAATATGCATAGAATCTTTTTCTGAGGCGATCTACGCATGTCCGTCTGTCCGTCCATGTATTTTTGTGAACAAAGTATAGTTCGCATTTATAATCCGAATTGGATGAAATTTGGCACAGCTCACAAGGACGAACCCTATTGAAATTTTAAAAAAATCGTTTCAGATTTAGATATAGCTCCCATATATAGTTTTTATGTGAATGATGCATCAAACTCCCAATGTTTAATTTAGATTTGTATAAACATAAATACTTTTTCATTTGACCCCTGTC